GCTTTGCTTGGTGTAAATACAGTGGATCTCAACCTTTGGGGTGTGCTGAATAGCAGATCATCTCGAATCCTTGAGCACTCAGTCTAGTGAAGATGTTGTCATTATGTACAATAAATTTCTAGTTTAATTAACTATGTGATGTTAACTATTATTAATAAATTTTAACATTTTCCAAAATACTCAATGTGTGATTCATGAGCATTTTCAAGAGTGCAGTCATCTTTTGCCCATGTCAGTACTTCCTGGACAGGCTGATGAATAACTAATGACTGTCTTGACTTTGAGTGTACGTGTTTGGCAGGCATGTGGCCAAGACTTGGCCTGATCCCAGATACTTCTCTTCCCAGAGACTCAATCCCAACATAACTAGAAGGTGGATTTTCCTGGGCTGCTGTTGGGGCCCCTAGATTGCGAGCACCATGGCTCGGCCTGCAGTCCACTGTTTCAACAGCTTGGCTGAGCTGTAGCATAACCCTCCAGGGCTCTGGCTGACCTTGGTAGGCAGATGTGGTTCACATTCAAGACATACAGCCCTCGTGTGACCGTCCAAAAAGCACTTGCCTCTGTCTTCTCCCTACCAAACTCTGCCCCCTCCTTAATAAGCAAAACACAGATCTGAGGAATAAATTCCTCAAAACTCCCTAGTGATATCCATTGACATTGTCGTGACCCTGCTTGACAATAACTGAGAGAAGAAAATGACCAACACTAAAAGGATAATAGAGATAGCCAGCAGGTGAAGGAAAACTTAACACTGGACACTATTTTTTCTGATATTAAATTGGTGAGATTATGGGAGCATTTTCATACATTATTAGTGGAAGTGTAATTGGTACAACCTATTTAGAAGGAGAAATAGGCAATATGTCACAAAAGCGGATTTTTGTATAATTTTCTAGAAATTTGTGCTAAGGACATACACCTGTTAGGGACTAAGATTTAGCTTTAAGGTTATTAACTATTATATGGCTTATAATAGCTAAAAAGAGATGTAATAGATCTGCCTACACTGGATCAGGGTCCATTCCTGTTATTGCAAACATCTTAATACAGTGACTTGATTATGCAGGTGGCGGCAATGCTGAGAAGGCAAACAGGACAGAAGCAACCCGGAGATTAGAAACATCAAGAAAAACAGCTTTGATCCCACTGGCTGGATCAGAGTTCCAAAGCTGGGGCAGGAGGTGGGGTTGAGGGGGCAGGACCCGGGAGCGCAGAGCAGGGTGGGTGATGAAGAGATATTCTGCCGTTGCTCCCTCCCACCCACTAGTTATCTGCAGGGTTTCCCGTTGGCCCAACCTAGCAGGAAGCTAGGTTGGCACAGGGAGCCTGGGAATGGAGTGTCCTGTGACATACAGGGCAGGGCAGCAGGGATCTGAGCAACTGGCAGGCACCCTACGCAACCATGATGGTGGCATAGAAGAATATTTAATAATAAAGAAAATGTCGATGGTATGTTGCTTCATGCCAAAAGTGTGTTATACAACAGTATATTATGATCCTATTTTTGTTAAAAAATGATGTAGGACATAGGAGTTGTAATGGGTTTCTCTGAATGCCTCCTCTGCCTCACTGAACTGTGCAGAGAGGCCTCAGTCCCTTTCTCAGCAGCTCCCCGCAGATGACCCACCCCTCTGGGGTGTGTCTCCCCCAGCCCAGCTCAGCTATGTGCCAGCCTCAGCCAGGCTGCTGCTCAGCACAGTTTTGGTGCCACCCACCCTCCCTAGGTGAGTGCTGCCCCAACCTCGCAACCTCAGGGAAGAGCTGCTCTCCCATTTCCCACTGGGGGCTCTCGAGAGGATATAGACCCTTAATTCTCCACAGACCATAACACCAGACAAGATGTTCAGAAGAGAATTTTCGCAGTGCATAATTTAAAATGGGTTCCTGCACCGTGAGGCCCTCAAAACCCTGGACTGCCCGTGCTCGTGCTCCTGGGCTTCCCTTGAGCGGCTCCCTGCAGCCCAACTCCCACCTCTTCTTTGGGGTTCCTCACCATGGGGGAAACTGTTCCCTTTGTTGGGGGTCAGAAAACAATATCCCCAAAATATGGTGCTTTGACATGCTGAACTAAAGCAGCAGCCTCGAGGGCTCTCTGACCTTCCTTCTACCCCTCAATCTCTCAACCCTCCGTCTCCCACAGCACAGGATGAGGTGTTTCTCTGATACTCCTTTATGTGCATCAGGACTGGACTCACCAGGGAGAACACAATAGCCTTCCATCCTCTCCCTGAAATCTCATTATTGCAGAAGAGAAGACTGAGGAATGCAACCACCCTTGGACAGACTTTTTCACAAGATAATGTCTACCTCTCAGGCTTATTCAGATTCCAAAGAGAATCATTGACAAGTTAATTTCTGTCTGCCACCATACATTCATTCTTCCTAAGAATCATTTACTACCACTCAAAAAAGTCACATTTCCCCCATCTCTCCTTCCCCTATGAAGAAGGTTATATAAGAATCTGGACCTCACTGGGTTATTGGGTAATCATTCTGCACTGCCTGCCCCATGCCATGCACATTAAAATAAAGTTGTATGCCTTTTTCTCCTATTCATCAGCCTTTTGTCAGTTCGTTTTCAGCAAACCTTCAGAGAGCGAAGGGGAAAGCTTTCCCTCTTTGCCCCTATAGATTTGATGCTGTGAGCCGGATAAACCAAATCTGCTCCACGCTTCTGGAAGCCACAGCCAAGGAAATCCGGGACCTGACAAACTGGCACAAAGGGCAAAATGTCTTTCTAGTCAGATTCCCAGGTGTCTGTGGAATCCAGTTGAGCAGACAGTACAAATCACTGTTTGTCTCTTTTTCCTATCCAATTTCAGATTAATGGGAGAAAAGCATTTGTGTGGACTAGCCCTAGTTTGGTG